CCGAAGTCACACCGGCCAGCCGGTTTGGTACAGCTGATGCGGCCGCGATGGCGGTTGCCGACGGGAACTGGCGAGCGCGTGTTGAATGCCGCACACGCATTGCCAGACGAATCGAGAATGGCCCGGTACACCGCAGGAAGCCAGAGGTGGCCGGAGAAAGCCCGACGGTCTGACAGGACACCCCAAAGCATTTTTGAGAAAAAACATTTGGTTTTTGATGTTTTTATGTTGAAATGCTTGCAAACACACGGTGTTCGGTAGGATTCTGACATGAACGCGCGAGTGTGCTCTTTGTTGTATTTTTTGCACAGGATTCGCGGCCTGGGTGCATGACAGAGCATCGCGAGTGCACCGCGCGATGACGTGAAATCGCTGGATTTGACCGAATTCTTAAGATTCCTATGGTTTTCCTATGATTTCAGCAAGAGAGCCCGGGCAGGAAATTTGTAGATTTTTTGTGAAAAAACATTGGGTTTTTGATGTTTTTATGTTGAAATGCTTGCAAACACACGGTGTTCGGTAGGATTCTGACATGAACGCGCGCGTGTGCTCTTGTGGTATTTTTTGCAATGGATTATCGCCGTGGACGACAGGACGTCCATGTCGAGAGGAAAAAATAAGAAAAATATTGATTTTGTATTGTTTTTTACAGGTTAGGATGGGACCACCCGGATGCGGCCCCTATCGGCCGGCCTGAGGGGGGAGTAGTAGGAGTATATTCTAATGAGGGAATAAGGATCGGAGTAGGAGTAGGCGGAGGAGGAGGAGGAGGAGGAGAAGAAGGAGGAGGAGGAGGAGGAGGAGGAGGGAGGGAGGAGGAGGAAATGAGGAAGGAGGAGAAAAGCAGGAGGAGGAAGAGGAGGAGGAGAGGAGGAGGAGGAGCAGGAGGAGGAGAAGGAGGAGGAGGAGAAGCAGGAGGAAGAGTAGAAGGAGGAGGAAGAGGAGGAGGAGGAGGAGGAGGAGAAGGAGGAGGTGAAGGAGGAGGAGACATGGTAGCCGAACATGAAGGAGGAGGCAGAGGAGGAGGAGGAGGAGGAGGAGCAGCAGGAGGAGGAGAAGGAGGAGGAGGAGGAATAATAATTAAGCTATTACTTTTTAGACTGGGACGAACATCACAATAATGGTGCTAATAGGCTTGATGTGCCTTGGAAACGCCCAGGGCGTTTCTTTATAATTTCCAACTGTCATTAGACAACTATTTTTCAATAGTTTCCGGCTGCCGTTTATTACTCGTTTCCAGGTCTCCGTGGCGATGCGTTTTTGATCGTTTCCGACGCCAATCCGAGGGAACGTTTATGTTGTTGCTGTATTTTGTTGTAAAATATTGTTTCCAGCCTATTTGCTCCATCGTTTCCAGGTCTGCCTCGCAAGGTGTTTTTCGTACCGGGTATTGTTTTGTCTGGGCGTGCATGGGCAATCACCAAGCACCAGCAGTCAGCAATACCCACGAACAGCAAGGATCAGCGCGTTGCAGGGAACGGCAAGCACGATGAAGCAGGAAGTTGGCGGCTGCAGCGGGCAGCAGGTGCACCAGAGAAGCCTGTTTGAAGAGAGTGTCGAGCTCTTATCGTGCGTTGCCTGTCAATCGCCGTCCGACCCTCTGGAATACGCGTGAGAGCAGGAGATATCATTGGTGTCATGACGGCGGCGTCGGCGTCGTAACGGCGGCCTCAGCGGAGGCGGCGACTTCCGCAATGTTTCCGCCTCCCCTGGCTCAAGGATCGAAGTTGCCTGTTTGAGACTGGTTTCAATACGTTTCCAATACGTTTTCAACGAGTTTCCAACCCCCCACTCGGGTGGGTCGGACAACGACTGACAGGTAAAGCACTATAAGAGCTCGACGCTCTCTCCAAAGGCTTCTCTGTTGCACCTCCTGCTCGCTGCAGCCGCCAACTTCCTCCTGTGCTGCCTGGTGCTGCTACTGCCTGCTGCTACTGCCTACTGCTACTGCCTGCTGCTGCTGACGTCCGCTGCGCCGCCCCGTATTCATTCTCATCGGCACTCTCGTGTTGTGCCCAATGTGCACCAACCCGTTTTAATATATATATATATATAAATATATATATCAGTGGGGCGCTCCGTACTGCTTCCAACTTGCGCCGAAATGATTGAGTTCCAAAGTATAGTGCAACAGTGTTTTGCATAGTTTCCTGGCTCCATTTATATATCGTTTCCAGGTCCCCGCTGTCGACACACAAGGCGTAAGAGTTGGAAACTATAATGACACACCCTGGGCGTCTCCAAGGTACGCTAAGATAATACGAATGATAAGAGTGATGCGACGACGACGATTCAGACAAACAAAGCTATTCATAATGAGAGAAGGAGAGGAGAAATAGAGGCCTCGGGGGGCGACGTCAGTCCGGTTATGGACGAAGAAAGGAGAAGGATGATGATGCTGCTGCTGATGATGATGCGGATGATGCTGATGCTGCTGATACTGATGCTGCTGATGATGATGATGACGATGAGGAGGAGGAAGAGGAGGACAAAAGACGGAGGGAGGGCATCGCGCAAGAAGGGCCCCCCCCTCCCCGAATGCCCGCCTGCAGCTCCGGCGTCTGGCGCGAGCAGACGTCGAGGTTCGGCAGCTCGCCCTCTCCGGCTATGCCATCACCCCCTTCTCCTCCTTCTTCGTCCATCTTTTTCCTCTCCTCCTCCTCCTCCTCCTCCTCCTCCTCTCCCTCGTCCTCCTCCTCCTCCTCCTCCTCCTCCTCCTGCTCCACTCCCTCTCCTCTTCGTCCATCTTCTTCCTCCTCCTCCTTCTCCCCCTCCTCCCACGCTTGCCCTTCCCGCCCGCCTCCTTCCCTCCTTCCTCCACGCTCTCTCTGTTCTCTCTCTGTCTCTCCTACCTTCCACCTCTCTCTCCCTCTTCCAAGCGCACGCTGACGTGGATCATGGATCCGTGGACCTGGCGCGTGGGCGCCAGGTCCACGGACATGGAAGCGCGCCCCTCGAACACGTGGCGCCAGCGCCGCCTGATTCGGCGACGGTGCTCGCCGATTTTGTGTACGGAGGCGTGAGTCCGTGTCTGCGTCTCCTCGGTTCCACCTCCCGGTGCTCCTCCCTCTCCTCTCCCCCTGTCACCTGTGCGGCCTGTGCTCCCACTGCTCCCTCTCCTCCGCCTCCTGAGCCTTCCCCACCTCCTCCAGCGCCAACTTCTTCTCCGCCTCTTCCTCGTCTTAGGACTCCACCCCCTCCGCCTCTGCCCTCTCGTCCGCCTGCGTGCCTCCTTCCTCCTGCCCTGCGACGATAATCTCACAGCAAGCGAGAGCAGGTTCTTTTGAGTCGGTGGTGCCCGCGTCAGTTGATGAGGCAGGCGTAGATGAGAATGCGGGAAAAAACCCAGACTGACGGTGCCCTTTTGATGCCGCCCCTGCCGCCGCTTCGTGTGGCGCGCTTCCAACAGAAAATAGCTCCCTTGCGGGGACTCCTAAAACAGACGGAAGGGGGGCCAGGGCGGAGGCGGAAATCGAAGCGGGCGGGACCGGACAGCGAACGGGAGAAGGCATGGTCTAGAGAGGGGAGGCGGTACGGGAGGGGGGAGCGTTGGAGAAGACATTAGATTAAATGAAGGGGGCGCGTGGGCGAAGGTGGTGGAGGCGGAGATCGAAGGAGAGTGCCTCAAGGGGGGGGGGGGGGGGGCGAAAATAATAAATGCGATGAGGAGTATGGAGGATGATTATGATGATGAAGATGATGATGAATATGAAGATGAAGATGAAGATGAAGATGAATATGAAGATGATGCTGATGATGATGGTGATGATGATGGTGGTGATGATGGTGATGGTGGAGAGGAAAGAGAGGGGAGGATGTTAAGGAATATATGTGACGAAGCTCTGGAGGATCGGGTGGAGAACAAAACACACAAGCGATCGTCCGATCGGCCTGGAAGGGGCGGCTGAAGCGGACTCCCTGCCCTGGCGAGCAAGGTCCACGCTTAACTATAGGCGCGATGCGGCGCTGTTCAGCGAAACCTGCGGTGGATCGCAAGCACGACCTACGTAACACTGCCTTCTTGAAAACCACGATTCGTAGATACTGGTAGATATCTCAATCAAAGATTCTGGCCGATCTCCAACTACATTGGAGGCGGCAGCTAATCGGAAATGGACAGAACCCCTTTTAGTTAAACGTCGTTTAGTGGAAACGATCTCGGTCCCAAACCTGGCGGGCGCAAGCCTAAAAATGACGGCCGCGGCGCCCTCTCGAGAACCGAAAACGGACAACTCACTAGTCGACGTGTCAGGGTGGGGTCTGTCCACCCCCGAGCTGAAGGAAGGACGCTCTATGGATGAAGCACCAGCGACAGACACCGAGACACGCTGCTTGCCCTGCGCAGGGAAGGCGAATTCGTGAGACGGCGCCCCGCAAGCGTGCCAGATAGGCTCGCCACCGCGGCGCGCTCCCCCCTTTGGGCCCCCCTTGTCGGGCGAGGGGGAGGAGGAGGAGGGGGAGGAGGAGGAGGAGGAGGAGGAGGAGGAGGAGGAGGAGGAGGAAAGGGAGGAGGAGGAGGAGGAGGAGGAGGAGCGACCCTGACCCAAGGTGACCTCAGCTTCCCCAGGGAGGCGCAGATGGCTTCCAGAGCGCCCCTCACGAGGCTCAGAAAGCCCCCGTGCGCTCGAGATGGCGCGCAAAGTTGGGAGCACCCCGGGCAGAACCTGTCAACATCGAACCGAGACGCCCGGTCGAACTGGCCTGCATTGGCACGGGGTCGACATCGAATCGGCTCGGTGGCGTCCGGATGCACATCAGCGCCGTGCCAGCATCGGGTCGCGTCTGACTACCTACCAGACCACCCCAACCCATACAGTCGGGGCGTTGACCTAAGGAACCCAAAATAAGAAACGAGGCCCCTTTTGTCCATAAGTCAAACTTCGATTTCCGATCGAAAACATAAGGAAAACCTGAGGCAAGCTGCGAAACACTTAGGGAACGCGGAGCCCCTCCCCAACGAAAAGGGTTCCTTCTTCAGGGCCCCGACTGTAGGAAGCCTCGGCAGGACGAGCGGGCCCTGGGAAGCGGGCCGGGACCCCTGATTAGGGGGTCCACGCCGTGAACAGCCTCGCGACGCCGGGGGGTCTGGGCCCCTGGACCCCTCTCTCCGGGGTGCGGCCCGGTCAGGGCTTCGAGGCACAGCCGGCCGCGGTGGCGAGGGCCCCTCCAGGACGAGCAGCGGCATCCAGAAACTTGCCCTCCCCCATGACTCTGTGGCCAGAGCCGCCTGGCTGGGCAGAGGCGCGCTGGGCACTCACGCTCGGCTGCCTCGGCCCGCCTTCGGCCGTCCTCACTGGCAGGCGCCAGCAACGGCGGGTGGCAGCACCCTGCTCGGTGACAGCGGCTCCCGCCGCGGCTGGTCGTCGCCGTCGACGTGCAGGGAGCAAAACTGCCTCTGCGCGCTTTGCTGGTAGCCGGACCAGCAGCACTGCACGGAGTGCATCCTGGGGGAACGACGGAGCCGCGAGAGGGTAGGATAGCAAAGGGCAGAGTAGACAATGGTACGGTGCATGGTGTTCCCTGCCCCCCCCACCCTCCGCCTTTGGAGACAGCGCTGGGCCGACGAGGCGTGCATGTGAGTCCCAACTTGCGTGACATTCAAATCTCTATCGGGCCTCGCCATGCTCCCTCCCCTCCCTCAGGTGGGAGGGGAGGGAGCATGGCGAGGCCCGCGGGTCCTGAGGGAAATGGGTTATGGACCCCGCGGCCTTCGGCACGGTCCGCGTGCACCCCCCGAATTGTCTCGGCGAGGCGCAGCTGCCGAAAAGCATACTGAAGCTGAAAAACCTACAGTAACGTGCGACAACGCATTACAACTTTGATCCCCACTCTCTCGTTTTGAGCGGTTACAACTTCGATCCTCGATCCCTCGTTTTGAGCGGGGACCGAGCGTCCTGGCATTCCTAGAATTTGACCTACCACAGAAGTTCTGGGAGCAAAAACATGTCCTAAGAACAAGAACCACGTTCTCATCACCTCAAGCCGATGTATTCGAACAAGGCTTCGTGCAGGCTTCGTGCAGGCTGAGGCGACCTCAGCCAGAAATGTTCGAACAACGCTTCCTACAAATCACAACTTGTTCTCAAAATATGATTTGATGTTGGAGGCGGCTCGGGGGTCTGAGCTGGTTGGGCCCCAAGAGGGGTGGATGGAGAAAATCTGCCCCCGACCCCTCGGACCCCTCCTGGGGTCCATCTGGTGCGGTGTTTCACTCTGGATCCGCTTTGGAGTCCCGAAAACGGCCCCCGGGAACCGAAAAAGGTAACGACCTTTTCGAACCTGGAACCTCGAACCCAGCCCCCCCTGGGCCACCTCAGACCCCCAGACGGCTCCAACTTTGGTGGGCCTATAGGCGGATCAGAACGCTTCGCCAGTGCTTCACGAACTGGCGGCGCGCACAGGGCATTGGGGCGCGGGGAAGGCTTCTGAGGAGGCCGCTTCTCACAGGGCGCCAGCCCTGCAGCTAGAGACAAGGCCCGCCTCTCTCCTGAGCAGCCGGGGTGTCTCTAAGAATAAAACAGGGCTAGGATGAGGATAAATCGCTCCAGAGCGTTCCGGAGCGCTCTCAGAGCGTTCCGGAACGCTCTGGAGCGGCCGCGGCGCCCAATACATCCTCCAAACCCGCCGATTCTCAGAGATTTCGGATTATCCCGATCCGATTTTGTCCCGATCTTCGCGTCGTTTTAAAGCAGCCTTCCCCCCTCCCCCCATCCCGCTCTGCGCGTGGCCGGCTGCAGGCGAGCTGGGACGCTTCGCCACGGCCCCACGACCCCGGCCCCGACGGGCGGGAGAGCCCGGCGCCGAGCTCCCGAGGGCAGCAAACTGGCAGGACGACAGAGTCTGGCCACGCTCGCCGCCTCGTGGGGCCATCTTTAGGGCAGGGCTGGACCCAAGCAGTGTTCTTCGTTTTCGTCTTCGCTGTTCCTCGCTCTGTCGCCTTTGCTGCAGCAGGAGGAGGAGGTGGAGGAGGAGGAGGAGGAGGAAGAAAAGGAGGAGAGGAGGAAAACAAGAGGAGGAGGAGGACGAGGAGGAGAAGGAGGAGGAGGAGGAGGAGGGAGGAGGAGGAGGAAGAAAAGGAGGAGAGGAGGAACGAAAACGCAACGAAAACGACCCCTCCTCCGCTCTCTTGCCTGCGACAGGGCGTCCTGCCCCGGCCCGCGCTGCCGCGCCGCGCCGGCGCCTCCAGGGCGCGAGTGCCCAGTCCAAGGTCCGAGTCCGAGGCCGAGTATAAGGAGGAGGAGGAGGAGGAGGAGGAGGAGGAGGAGGAGGAGGAGGATAATGATGAGGAGGAAGAAAACGAGGAGGAAGAAGACGAGGAGGAGGAGGAGGAGGATAATGATGAGGAGGAGGAAGACGACGACGACGATGTCGACGAGGAGGAGGAGGCCGAGGCCGAGGAGGAGGACAACGACGACGACGTCGAGGAGGAGGAGGATGAGGAGGCCGAGGCCGAGGCCGAGGAGGAGGACGACGACGACGACGTCGACGTCGGCGACCCTGGACGAACGCCGCCCACGCGAACGTGTCGGCCGGCCCGCCCCCGCGGACCCGGCCGCCGCGGGCGTCGCGAAAGGGGCCCAGGGGGAACACACACACACACACACACACAGACACACGCACACACACACACACATACAAGCGCACACACGCACACACAAACGCACACACACACCACACACACACGACGCACAGACACACACAGACACACACACAGACACACACACACACACGCACACACACGCACACACGCACACACGCACACACGCACACACACGCACACGCGCACACGCGCACACGCGCACACGCGCACCCGCGCACACGCGCACACGCGCACACGCGCACACGCACACGCACACGCACACGCACACGCACACGCACACGCACACGCACACGCGCACGCACACGCACACACGCACACACACGCACACACACAAACACGCACACACACACGCACACACGCACACGCACGCACACACACATACACACGCACACACACACACTCACACACACACACTCACACACTCACTCACACACACTGACACGCTGACACACTGATACACTTACGCACTTACGCACTTACACACTTACGCACTAACACACTAACACACTTATACACCTACACACTTACACATTTACACACTTACACAACTGCACACTTTCACACTTACACACTTACATACTTACACGCTTACACACTTACCGACTGGCACACTTACCACGTACGCACTTACACACTGACACGCGTACAGGCTTTCACACTTACATACTTACACGACTACACACTGGCGCACTTACGCATTTACGCACTTACCCACTTGCACACTTACACTTACGCACTTACGCAAATACACACTTACCCACTTGCACACTTACACACTTATACACTTACGCACTTACACATTTCACACTTGCACACTTATACACTTACACACAACCACACACACACACTCACACACACACTCACACACACATGTGTGTGTGCACATTCCAGGATTTCCTTCATTGTGCCACATCTCCCGGGGAATTTCCTCTTCTCCTCCCTCAGTGTCTCATAACACTCGGCGCTTTTTTGTGCTTGTGCAAATTTATCCCTCTGCCAAGTGGGGTCCAAGCAAGATTGATGGGGTCGGAGGGTCACGCTGCATCGCCAATGCATCGCCGATGCAACAGCGACATCTGCGTTGCATCGGCGACGTCGGCGTGGAAAACATCGGGCTCCACATCGAGCCGCATCGCCGATGCATCGGCGATGCGTCGCGATCTGCCGACCCCATCTGGGAGACCTAGAACCGTTCGGGGGGCTCCCGGGGCACACCCCAACCTCTGCTGCGATGGCCGCTGCGCTTGCTAAGCGGTTGGGCTACATGCATGTGCATGTGATTATCCTATTTTATATGGGGGTAAGCTGTTTATGGGGATATCAACGGATCCCGCTTCGTATGTTGTGGGTTGTCTTTGGATGTCGGTTGGTAAGTGGTTAAGCTAAGCAGGCCAAGTGGGACCGAGTGGTTACCCTAAGTGGGCCAACTCGGATACCATCCGACATGTTTCTCTCTTGCCCACAAGCAAAAGAGAGGAGGAGAGGCAGGAGCAGAGAGGGGGCGGGCCAGGTGCACGGGAGCGGCGGGGAGGGGGAGGAGGGGGAGGGGGAGGAGGGTGGCAGTGTTTTGCTGCCACCGTTTCCACTTGCTGCCTCTGCTGCTTGCTGTCGGGGTCCAAGTGCATTCTCCTTTGCTGGTTGGTCGGGGGGGGGGGGTCCCCCAAATTTGCCCCACCCCCCTCGGAGGAGAAGGGGGAGGACGAAGAGGGGGGGGAATTCTTGACGCTTCGCGTGTCCCCACCATCCAGAAACGATCAGCAGGGGAGTGAGTGAATCAGGGGCGGCAGAACGCATGCAGTCGCGCAGCCGTCTTCGAGAACACAAGCATCACATAGCTTCCCGCATTGAAGTTTAAGATTGAAATGGGTGCACATTTCGATGGTGCTTCGATGAGAGGTGAGGGGTATTTCGATGACTCGTAATGGCTGTTGCACTGATTTGTATCTTAAACTCGCGTGCGTTCCGAAACTTGGAGGCATCTTGGGGCCCTCGTGGGATTCTTTTGGGTCCCTCTTGGGGCCTCCTGGGGCTCTTTCTTGGGGCTCTCCTGAGGTCCTCTTAGGGCCTTATTGGGGCTTCTTGGTGCTCTTTTGGAGCGTCGTGGGGCCCTCTTGGGGCTCTTTTGGGGGGTCTGGGGCCTTCTTTGCATTTATCATCGCGCCTAGCCTTGTCATTGAAGGCACCGCAGCTCTGCACTTGCGCCGCGGTGATCCGCAGTTGTCGGATGCGGCCACCTCTCGTCAGAGCCGCTGTCTCAAAAAAAAAATGCATCGATGCAGCGACATTGAGAGGCGGGTCAAGCGAACCGATCCGCGTGGGCGGCAAACTCCACCCTCCTACTTGCTGCGCCCATCATGGTTCAGAGCGGAAGCCGCCTCCACCCCTTGAGTTCCCATCCTTCCCTCCCGCCACTCCTCCCCGACTAACGCCCGAACCGCGAGCCTGCAGCACGCAGTGCTCCTGAACAAAAAAAAAAAAAAAAAAAAAAAACATCCTCGTGCTGCGCAATGCGATGCAAAACTCTGCGCCTCCAGGCTGTGGACTCAACAAGTCCTGCGCTTCTTAGAAGCGTCGGCCTCCTTGCTAGTGGGTGCACCTGGCTTGGCGAATAGCTCGCTCCCCGCAGCAATCTTCCTAGTGTTCGTCAGCGTGGGGATCGTCACTTCAGAGTGGGCGGAGCGCTCTCCCGCATTGAAGCTTAAGATTGGAATGGGTGCAAATTTCGATGGTGCTTCGATGAGAGGTGAGGGGTATTTCGATGACTCGTAATGGCTGTTGCACTGATTTGTATCTTAAACTCGCGTGCGTTCCGAAACTTGGAGGCATCTTGGGGCCCTCTTGGGATTCTGTTGGGCCCCTCTTGGGGCCTCATGCGGCTCTTTCTTGGGGCTCTCCTGAGGTCCTCTTAGGGCCTTCTTGGGGCGCCCTTGGGGTCCTCTTGGGGCCTTCTTGGAGCCCTCTTGGGTCTCTTTTGGAGGGTCTTGGAGCCCTCTCGGGGCTCTTTGGGGGAGTTCTGGGAGGCCTCTCGGGGGCGCCTTGGTCTTTATGGCTAAAGAAGGGGGGGAGGGGGAGGGGAGCAATTCTTGCCCCCCCCCCCCCCCCCTCGGAGGCTCAAAAATGCCGTCTTGGGACCCTCTTGGCCCGCTCTTAGAGCGCTCTTGGGCGCTCTTGGGGCCGCCTTGGGACTCTCTTGGGCCCCTCTTGGGGCTGTCTTGGGCCCTCTTGGGGCCATCTTGAGGCCTCAAGAGCCCTTCGGAGGCGCAAGCGCGATAAGGCAAACAACCTGGTTTTCCTTAGGTTGTTGAAGGGTTTTGGCCTCTTGGGGGGTCCTTGGAGGCCTCGGAGGGCATTTGAAACCGTCTTGGGGCCGTCTTGAGACCTCTTGGACGCGTGTCGGAGGCTATCTTGACCCGTCTACCGCTATCATGGGCCATCTTTGGGGCCATCTTGCGCTCTCGGAGGCCCTCTTGGAGCCATCTTGGGCCATCTTGGACGCTGATATGGGCCCGTCCCCCCCCCCGTCCAAACGCAGGGACGGGGGGGGGGTAAACCTCTCGAGTAGGGAAAGGCAGGAGGTTGGAGAGGGAAGAGCCCTATAGACCTCCTGCGCCCAGAGGGCTGGTGGGATTAAAACAAGTAGGAATGGACGGGGTCGATTTTGCGTTTCTGGGGGCACTCTGCGAACCCACGCGCGTGACTTCACGCTCTGCTGCGCCTCACCCGTTGGTTGAGCTTCGGGGGTAAAATGATTGTGCATATCTTGCCGACGTCTGAAGGCATGAACGTGCAAGGCTCGAAAATGCAGCTACTCAAAAACACATCTGGGGAATCTGAGGTTCGACACTTCACTGCAGTGTCTGTCACCTCCAACATCTCCCATTGGCTTATGCAGCTGTAGCACGCTCCTCCAATGCTGAAGTGAAACCAAACGCAGCCGAAACGAACTCGGCCATCTGCTAAAACATACGCTACACAATCTTGCATCACAATTTTGCGACTGTTTGCAATCAAAGACCTGGCAGTCAAGATCTCGCACCCGTGAGGCAAGCTGAACATTGAATCCAAAACCTTGATCATATTTTTATTTGCGGGTCTTGGCTCAATCAAGCTTGTGGCTTCGATCGGGCCGTCGATGTCAAACAGATGTTGGACTGTACATTCTTGCAAGAGGCCCTTGTTATAGCTCTGGAAGCTGTACCGATGCTCCGCCATTCTTTTCAATACCCGATGTTTACGCTCGTGCATGAAGCACGACAAAATAAATTTGTGCTGCAACATTTGCCTAGGGAGGTGGAGGCAATAGTGGGCTTTGGGAACCCACAGAAGATCACCGTATGCAACCTGATGCAAAGCGAAGTGGGTACATATCGCTACCCCCAGCTCGGCTGGGGTCACCTCACCCGAATTTGCAATGTTCAAAAGTTCAAGCACATCGATGATCGCCAAAGCGCTCTGCACTTCGTCCTCGAGAAACTTCGTCGGTATCACTACGTCCACTAGGAACTTCCGCAGGACGGGTGCAAATGACAGTATCTCACTCGCTAAACCTTTCGGGGAATTGTCAGCCCTTGACCTGCATA